CCCTAGTCCAATCCAAGTCCACCAACAGCCATCCATCAGAGTGGAGCTAGCCATTTCATTCAGTGCCTCCTAGCCAATCAAAATCTAGAATCAGTCACAAGAGCCATTCTCCCATCCAGTCAATGAAGAGCCATAGCCAAGCCAGTCATCCTCTCATCCAATTGAGAATCTAATTTTTCCCAGTCAAAGAGAAACAATAGCAATAAATTGTATGTGTTCTCCAAACAGAATGCAGCACCTACACTTGATCACAGACTCAGAGTTGATGCTCTATAACCTGAAGAAGAATGTTAAGTGTCAGCCTGAACAGGGAATTGTTCATGGGAATGGGGATGCTGGAGTGACCCTTAGAGACCTCCTGGGGACACCCAAGCTCCTCATCATCAAGAAGGAAAGTTGGGCCAGCTGGTGGCATCGCGGTTAAGCCAGCTGGATCTACATGGCCAACTACTTGGTTTGAGTTCTAGACTTGGCAGGTTGAAAAACAAGCTGGGCATGTGTATGTGCCCAAAGTCCCAAGAAGAGAACGGAGGAGGAGGGATGTGGCATGACCATCCCCCATTGGGGGGAGTGATTTTTCACTCTCTCTCTCTGTCTCTCTCTGGAAGGCACACGTGCCCTCTAGAAAATTTAAAATAATAATAATACAAAGGCAAGTTAAGGTTTGGTGTGGGACCTACTTCTTTCACCCCCAGGGTCAGACTGTAAATACGGAGCCAGGGTTGCTGGGAGCTGCTCTGTGTCTGTGACGTGTCCCAGGAAGCTCTCAGTCAGCCTGCTGCATGGGGCAGACACTGTGACTTAGGGAGAAGAGCTGGGAGGGAGGACCTGGCTCCAGAGCTACCCAGGAAGGCTGAGAGACTGAGATCAGAGTCTCATGTAAGTCAGGGTAGGCTCAAGCGTGTCCCAACTCCCGGCCACAGTGCCATCCTGAGGAGGAGGTGGGGTGGAGAGCTCATGACTGAAGCTAGTCAACAGCCATGGAGGCCGAGGAACCAGGCTCCTCAGCCGGAAGAATAGGCTGGGGCAGAGGGAGCTATGTAACTGCCTGAAACTCTCGAAAGGACTGTCTAGGGAGCCGGGTGGTGACACAGCACCAAGACACAATGTCTTGTGAGGCTGATGTACTTAGGAAGTTTCCAGGTCAAGTCCAAAGACCTTCGTGAGTACACCAGGCATGTGTGTGTCCATGATCCAAGACCGGCTGAGGCAAGGGGTGGACAGTGGCTTCAAGATCCTATTGGAGGTGCTTGTTCTCTGTCTGTGTCTTATATATGAAAGAAATAAATACATACACATAAAAATAAATAAATAAATAGGACAGGTCCAGTGGCCAGTGGTTGAGGGAGCTGGATCCCACATGGCTGACCATGTGGTTCAAATCCTGGCCTTGGTGGCTTGGGAAAAAAAACACATTGGGCATGTGTGTGCATGCCCAAGATCCCAACAGGGTAGAGAAATGGAGAACAGACTGTAGTGTGATCACCCCCTGCCCCCACTGGGGGGTGTTTCCCTTCTTTCCCTCTCTCTTTGGGGAGTGCATGCACCCTCTGGCAAAATAAAACAATGAATAAATAAAGGGTTGTCTCTGCCTCGGGTGGTCATGGGGGGGCGGGAGCTGAACTCAAAAAGTGTTAGAAGGAGCAGAGTTCAGCCAAGACCACCGAACGGAATGGCTCGGCAGGGGTCGAGGTGCCGGGGCAGTGGAAAACAGCTTCTCATCAGCTGGAGGCGGGCCTGAGCCTGACCTCACACTGACTGCTGTGTCCGGTACTGACTGTGCGTGTGGGGGCCTGGGGCGTGCCGTACAAAAAAGCTGCAGGAAACCAGAGCCATTCACGCTCTGACAGCTCAGTGCTTCACGGAAGAATGATGTTAAAGCACAAGTTTGCTTGAGTACAGAAAATGGTTTGGAACCTTGTGCAATTTTTCAGAAGGCCACTTTCCGCATGCTTTTTGAAGACCCCCTTGTAGACCAGAACTTCTTGAAAATGAAGTGGGTAAAAATGCAGGAAGTAGCACCCACTCAACTCAGCACCAGCCCCAAAGCCAGGCAAGTGTGTGGTGAGGGCCCGAGCAGGACAGAGTCAGACGTGGACTCAGAAAAATGAGCTGCCAGGCCACCTTCTGCAATCCTTTCACCGCATGGGAGGGGAAACTGAGGCCCAGAGATGGGAAGCGGTTGTCCAAGAAGTCAGGTGCAGACCTGGGGCTAGAACCCAGTTCTCCCTACTCCTGATGGCCATTCTCTCCTCTCACCAGGGGCTTTCAGGAGCAAGGGGGTGACTGGCGAATGTGGGAAAAGGACACATTTGGATAATAGGGAGAGGGGCAGGACCTGAGGGAACTGAGGGGACGCTCTGGCTACAGGCATTTCAGTTCCACTTTTGAAGAACCCAAACCAGTGTGGATCATCAGGGGCAGAGTGTCTTCCCAGGGGAGGAGGAAACAGAAGGTGACTTGCAGACGGCTCCAGCTGCCCAGTGCTGACCTGGGGAGGACTGAGCGCAACCCTCCCTTTAGAACCAGCAGCACACGCCTGTAACCCTTGGCAGGTCCAGACACAGCAGATGCGGGCGGCACACGGGACAGAGCCACACTGTCACACACAGTCATTGAGCAGTCCCACTCCACTTCCCAGGCTAGAATCAGGGAGGGCAGAGGACGCCCTGGCCACCAGCAGTGCGGAAGAAAGAAAGAAGCAAGGCAGATTTGAGGCAGTGTATTGAGGACAGGAGAGAAAACAAAGTCGGAGGAAGAGCTCAGCCTGGCCACAGGAGCTGCAGGGTGGAGGGTGGGCTCTTCTGTCAACGACCCTCAGGGGCCGAAGAGGCAGGGCCCAGAGCAGGGGCTGCACTCGGTGCTGGGAGGGCCTGGCATGGACGAGCCGGGCTCCCTCACTACTCCCCCATGCATACCCCCTCGTTCTGTGTGGAATGAGCTCACTGAGAAGGCACCCCCTGTTCCCATGGAGACGAGCCCAGAGCTCACGAAAACTGCAGGCTCAGCCCAGCATGGGCACCGCCTCCACCACCCCTCGCCCCGCTGGGGAGCCCAGAAATAGGGCTGGGAAAGCGAAAGTGGGTGGTCCTCGGCCCCCGGCCTTGGGAAGCTTCCATCTGAATCCTGCCTCTTGCATCTATTCTCATGCCCCCACCCCACAAAGCCTGGTTTGGAGGGGCTGCATCGCATCAAAGGCATGAGAGGCAGTGGGGATCTCAGATGGCCTGACTCAACACCCTCACAGTATAGATGGGGAAACCGAGGCCTAAAGCTACACATGCGGTCTGTGTATTAGAATCTGGGTCTTGGGTCAGCCCTGTAGTCTACAGGTTAGGTGGTCTAAAAGGAAGTCAGACTTCACCTGACCAATCAGGGTTCAAGTCCCGGCCCTAGAAACTTAAAAATCACATTGGACAGGTGCACATGTGCCCAGGGCCCTGGCAGAGTGGAGGATTGAAGGAAAAACGATGGTGGTATGACCAGAGACTGTTGGGGGAAGCTTTCTCTCTCTCTCTCTCTCTCTCTCTCTTCTTCTTCTTCTCTCTGTCTCATGTGTAAGCATGCATCTTCTAGCATTAAAGAAAAAAAAAAAATAGAATCCAGTCTCTTAAAATCCAGGCTTCTTCTCAAAACCTCTTCCCCTTCCCACTGAGCTGCTGTGCCTGGCCCCAGCCTTGGCCATGCCCCGACTGCAGGCAGTCCTGAGCCTGGGCCGGCCCAGCCAGGCTTCTGCTCCCGTGGCCTTCTGCCGCAGCTCTTTCCAGCCAGACCCTTCCCTGTCACCCTCACAGACATCTAACCCTACCTTCCTTGGGCAACAGCCCATTTCCTTTCTGTCCCTTGCCAGGGGACTGTCTTGTCACATACATGGCCTCCCTGCCAACGTACCAGCCTATCTTCTCCGTCCTTACAGACTGTCCTAGCGAGGAGCACCCTCATTGCATACATTAAAAAATGGAGGCTCGGAGAGAGAAAGTGACTTGGCAAAGTCACACAGCAAACGGGAGGCTGAGATGGGTGCAGAACCTACGTCCCTGCTTCTCCCCCTGGGGCCTGTTCCACTGCACTGAGGTGCTTTCTAGTCAGGCCCCGGTTGAAGCCAAACCCAACCATGGATGCCCTCAGGGGTTCTCCCAGAGGTACACCCACGTCTATCACAGCCTTCTATGGGGCTCTCCTCCTCTTGGGGATCCCTGGGACACCCCCACCCCAGAACAGTGAGGGTAAGCCAAGTGGAACCAGGACTGAGGTCAGGGCTCAGGAGTCTCCCTGAAGCAGAGGCGGGTCTTGGAGAGGGCAGAGGCAGCCGAGTACAGGGCGGGAAGAAAAGCGTCAGACAGCAGCGGTGCGCTAAGTCCATGTCCAGCAGGACCCGGGGCAGGAGAGGAGGAGGAGGCGAGACAAAGCTCTCCGAGGCAGCCGGGAGGAGATGGCGTCCAGAAGGCAGAGGTGAAGAGACAGGCCTGTGGAGGTCAGAATCCAGCGACAGGAAGAAAGATGCTGGGGGCTTGGGCCGCATCAGGGTGGTCCCCCTGGGGTAGCTGAGGAGGCAGCGCTTTGGCTGGGTGACTCTGCAGGCACTGGCAGGCCCTGTCTGCTCCAGAGTCCCTGTGAGGATCCCCTTCTAAGCCATTCCCCCAGCAAGACGCTGGCAGCAGACTCCGGCATCCCGACAGCGACAGGAAGCCCCTCGGCCTCCTCTGAGCTGCCTGCTGAAGGGGTCTCTCCATGACCCTCCTTCCCACCCAGGCATGGAGTCCAAACCCTGTGGAGCAGGGAAGGGACGGCTGCCACCAGAGAGGGGAGGCCACCCGCCCAAGGTCACAAAGCTAGCTGGCCACCACATCAGACCTCGAACCATAGACTCCTCAAATCCTCACTCAGCCCGGAGCCATTTCCCGCGGCATCTGCTCCATCCAGCCCTCGAAGAGGCGGGCTTGGCAGGCAGAGGGACCCGATGGGGTCCGTTACTTGAAGCAGAAGGAAGGCTTCCACACCTGCGCCTCGATCCCCGCGTTCCTGGTAGAGAAGGAGGGCCTGGGGGCCTGCTTGGCTCGGGGAGACCACGCCCTGGAGGGAGACACAGGGGAGATGTCGCTGCTGTAGGTGGGGCTCACGGCCGTGGGCTGGAGGCCGTCCTGGCCAGGTGCGCTGTAGAGGCCGGGCGAGGAGCGCGAGGGCCGCGGCAAGGCAGGAGACAGCGGGAGACCTGCCCTGGGCAGGGTGGGCACCAGGTCCAGGGAGCTGGGCTTGGCAGGGGAGGCGGCTCTGGGCGAGGCCGCTCTTGGCGAGGTCTTGGCAGGCTCCTTGATGGGCGAGAGGACAAAGAGTGAGGGCCGCAGCTGGGACTTGGTGGGCTCTGGGCGCAGAACCCCATTCTCGGGCAGGTAGCCGTGGTAGAGGGAGGCAGGCGGGGGCCGGGCTGGGCTCCGGGACGCCACTCGGAAGCCGCCAGGGGCACTGGTGGAGTATTTCCAGGATGAAGGCAGGGACATGGTGGGCGAAGGGCAGCGGGCCAGTTCGGCTGGGTGGCCTGCGGACTCGATGACGTATTTCTCCATCCGCGACTGGCGGCGGGCGTAGAGCTCGGCCCCCTTCCCGGAGGCCTCAGAGAGGTTCTGGTTGGGTTTGGGCTTCGGCTTGGCCTGGATGCGGGGTGACTTGAGGCAGGAGG